TCCATTTGAGTGATATAATCATCATGATTGAGATGAGCAAAAATAAACAGTTTGAAGCACGTCAATTCCACCTGCACGGTAGACGGCCCCAAACTTGGGAGACGAAACTCTGTGTCTTCTTCTTCTTTCTGTTCCATATCTTCCAGCATATCAGAGCTATTTCGGGGGACTGTTCGATCGGGTAGCTTGTCATCAAAGCATGTTGCTCGATCGCCTTCACATTTGTTTGTATGCAGTCCTATTGTTTCCAACGGAAGCCAGCTTGTCCAAGTCTCCTCCAATGATTTCACAGTGTCGTAATCATCATGCTCCGGGAAATGGGGAACGTATGGAGCACATTCTGGCATGTTCGATGGTTCTTCCAGTTTCTCAATCACTCCGTTGATATAAGGTTTCCACCTCCGCGCTATTTTCAAAGAGTCCATGTGCAACAGACTCCCAATCCACCATTTGCGGCTGGAGCCCCACCAGTCTTTCGAGTGGTTCACAATGCAATCATCTCGAGGAGGGCAATCAGTAGTAGATTCGTCAGGTGCAGTGCCATTCTCACAATGTCCTAGTGGTCCGAGCTTCTGTACAAATTTGCGCCAAACCTCAATGGTGCCGGGACGGTTTTCCAGTTGCCGCGCCAATAATTCTGTCTCAAAGGCGTGGTCTTTCTTCTCCAAAGTAGTACTAGTAGTCCCAGACTTCCAACTTTGATCACTCAATGCCCACTTCTTGGCATGATGGGAATAAAGACGACAAATGTCATCACACTTGCTTGGACCTGAATCACCAGCCAGCAATGCCACAACTTCTTTCCAGTCGAGTAGGGAACAAACAGCAAGGTGCACTTTGGATCCCTTTTGATAGCTTGCAAGTTGGAAAAGCATCTTAATGGCCGAGGACAGTGCCTGGCGCATGTCGTCGAATTTGGGCAGCTTGTAGCGTACTTCGTGTGGGAGTGACTTGGAGTACCCATAAAAAGTCATTCGACTTTTTCGAGATGGATACATGTGTGCACCACCGCCAATTCTATTTCCCGAACAGAGGAGAAGACACGAAGCCAGAGCACCAATGTACCATAAATGATGATCCAAATCCAGAGCATCGACTTGAATATTCTCCTGGAGTGTTTTGGAGGCTTGAAAGAACAAGTACTCTAGATTTCCAACGTCAACCGTGTCGTCATCTGGAAAGTCCTTTTGGGAGACAATCATTTCTCTCTCTTCCATGTGCTCCAATGTTTGTTTGAACAAATCTAGTGGTGTGCGTACTTGCTCCCCATCGACTGCTTGGGACAAGATATCTGCAGCCGACTCTGGCAGGCTCGAGGCGATCTGCGCCAAGGAAAAGACAATCCGCAATCGTGGGAATTTTGCCACTTCCGCACAACCGACATGACTCTGCAAGACACTGACAATTTCTCTTGCTTGCTTGCACACACCTTCCGTAGCATACATGTCGTCGTCTTCACGATCTTCCACCTTGATTGCTTCGTTTGTCGACGCCGGTAGTGGACACCCGTTGGCCAGCAAGCTGCAATAACTCATCAATGACTTGTAATAATGGACATTGGCAACATTTACCATTCCATGCATGCGTCCAAAGAAGTTGGATGTCTTGGAACTATGAATCTGCACATACTCTTCCATGAACGCTTTCAGGTCCTCGGATGGGTTGCTACTAGCTTCTCCGCTCGCAAAAGTATCCGAAGAATGCTGCTTCGCCATTCGGCACAGAAAAGTCGATACAATGAGACGGCTGGTCGTTTCGCCAATCTTGGATTTGTGAAAGAACTTGGCATGCTTATCGACAGGACCGAAAAGCATCGCAGCTGGTTCCAGTGGCATTTCTGGAACAGGTGCCTTGGTACCTGGAATATGGGCAAAGAGAGAAGAGGAGGGAAGCAATTCTCCAAACGAGCCCACCTCTTTGGTTTGGGCATTGTCCGATTGATCTCGTAACGTCTCGTCTGTACCATTAGCAATAGTGCCATTCGTCTTTTCCTCGATCAAGTCCTTCTTCCCTCGAAGATAATGCTTCTTGCAAAAGTCTCTTCTCGCTTTGAAAAAGTCGACCACTTGAACGGCTGTACCCGTGAACCCAGCCAAATCACCAGTCAAGCCCAAGTGTTCCGCCACCAGCTCGGGATCGGTCCAAGAATGTTCATGATACAAGAGCAAGTTAGCTGCCAATTGATGTGTCATTGTCTTGTAGGTTGGAAGCGACGAAAAATCGGCCACCGGTCCCTTGATCCGACCATGGTTGCGTTTTACGAGCAAGGCGCGAATCAATCGATTTTCGGTGGATTCGCTCAGCGACCGAGAAGACAACTGTCTCATGGCAATGGCTCGGAAATGCCGAATATGCCCAAACTGGTCCAATGTTTCGGTGCTGCCGTGACTGTTGGGAAAGAAATATCGCGGGCTAGGCGTTTCCGTTTTCTTTTCGGGTCTCATCTTCAAAAAGGCAGAAATGGACATTGTCTGACTCTGTCGTATGCGCCGTTCTGCCGGCGTTAGCTTATTGATCTTTGCTTGCTCTGCAAGTTCTGCAAGCGTCTGGACGGGTTGAAAAGAAAACAACTTTTCATAGTCAAATTCCGCCAGATCCTCCTTGCTCGGATAGGCTTTGCCATATTCCCAAAAGTCCATTTGATCCTTCAAGGGAATCGATGGGTCTTTTATTTCTTGTTCTGCCATATCTTCTTCCTCTTGCGTTTGGATCGTCTCGCTCACGGCAGAGTTTTGGGTCAATCGGTCGAGCAGTTGATTTTGTTCGTCCTCCGAATCATAATCTACCAGACCTCTCTGTCGTTCTTCTTGTTTGATTTGCAACTCTCTTTGCTGTTGGTCCCGTATTGCCTGGTGTTTTTGTCGCTCTTGCTGTTTGAATTTGCGGGCCAACACCCGGTGCACTCGGTAGCCAAAGACGTTGTTCACATCCTTCTCTAGAGTGTAATTGATTTTGCGGTTTTGCCAGCGTTGCGCCACTTGGTATCGCTCGACATCTCGATCTCGTCGAAGTACACGTTCTCGAGCTTCTTCCACCGTTTCTGTCTCGATATGATTCTTGCTATACCTTTTACGGACTTGCTTTGTTCTTGGCTGAAGTCGTTCCACCCGGGATTGAAAGGTGACCGACTTGTGTTTGGAATGTAACGCTCGATTTAAGATGGAGAGTTGTTGTGTCTTGTCATGCGGAAAACTACTACTGCTATGGCTGTAGATAGCACTCAATGCTTGTGGAAGCGACTTGCTCAATTCTTGAAACGCAACGTTGCGATCCACATGATCATTCTCTGCATCATCATAGCCACCATTATCAATATCATCATCGTCATCTCCAAACCACTCTTCACCTTGAGAGGATTCGTCGTTGTCGTCGTCGTCAATTTCTTCAACTAAATTAGGCTTTATCCGTTTCCTGCCATGTCGTGGTGGAGAAACCTGTATCGCCTTGGCCTTGCGTTTCCAAATGTTGTCATTTTGGTCGAGTTCCAGTTTTGGCGATGAAAGAACTGTTGTTGTACTATTGTTACTACCATCATTATCTCTCCGGCTAGGATTGATTTCTTCTTGCTGTACTGACGACGATTCCTGACTTTGTTGTTGAACTGTAGTATCAATTGATTCTTGGCTTTGTTGGGCAATGAGCTCTCGCAGGGAGAGCATCGTGACAGTTGATGCCGCGCCAGAATATTTTTTGTGGTTTTGTCGTCGCGTTTTATTTTATGTGCGGTTTTTCTTCTTTTTCGTCCCAAGGAAATTCTGTCAATGGTTTCTGGGCGCGCGACCGGATAGAAGGACGGACACCAAATGGTCTGAACCAACAAACATGACACGTAAAAAACAAAAGAGTTTCTTTCAATCCATCATCATCATCATCATTACAGTCAAACATGGGTGGCAGTAGCAAAAAGAAACGATCCAAGAAACAACAGGATGATGGTAATGATGACGACCAAGAGATTACGGAAAGTCGATTCGCGGCCGCCTCGACGCATCCTCAGTTTCGTCCCTTGAAGCAAACAGAATCCAAGGTCGTCCTCGATGATCGTTTTTCCTCGGTCTTGACGGATCCCCGCTTTCAATTGGAGGGCCGAGACAAGTATGGACGCAAGGGAAAGAAGAGTAAGGCAAAGACTTCCGTCAAGGAAGAATTGAGTTCCTTTTATATGGTGGAAGAAAAAGAAGACGAAACCACCAAAGAACAAGCGAAAACGAACAAATCCAAAAAGGAGCCACAACCCGAGGATTCTTCTTCTTCTGACGATGACGACGACGATTCTGGGAGCGACAGCAGTGACAGTGACTATGATGATGGGAAGAAGAATAAGAATGATTCCAAGGAAAACAAGGCAGAGAAAAAGGAAGATGCAGCCTCGCGCATTGCTTACCTCACCGCCTTGTCTCGGGGTGAAATCGATGAATCCTCCTCTTCGGACGACGACGGCTCATCCCAATCTTCGGACGACGATGATGGAGAAGAAGATGAAGGGGAAGACCCCGTATATGGAAATGCTGGAATCTTGGATCCTTCTACTCAACAAGAACAAGATGAAGAAATTGAAATATCCTACGATAGTTCACCATTTTTGGTGGTGCAAAACATGGATTGGGAACACATTCGGGCCGTCGATTTGTTCAGTCTGCTCAATAGCTTTACGACCATGGGAGCGGTCAAACGGGTTCAAGTCTTTCAATCCGATTTTGGCAAGGAACGCATGGAAAAGGAGCGTTTGGAAGGACCAAGTGGTATTTGGAAGAAAGGCACCAACAACAACAACAACAAGGCACAACCATTGAAAAAATTTGTCGAAGAGGACAGCGATAACGAATCATCAGCATCATCCAAAGAAAACGGAGACGATAACTCTGTTTCTTCTAGCCAAGAAAACGATAGTGACGATGATGAGGAGGAGAGTGTACAACAACAGCCAGTCGGCGACAATGACTTTGATCCCGAAAAGTTGCGGGCCTACGAAGCTTCCAAACTCAAGTATTACTTTGCCATTGTGGAGTTTACTTCGGCAGAGTATGCCGACGTTGCCTACCGCGAAGTGGATGGAATGGAATTCGAACGTTCCAGTTCGGCCATTGATCTAAGAACTTTGCCAAAGGAAGCCTACGAAGAAGTCACGCAAGGTCGCAAAATGAGAGACGAAGCTACCAGCATCCCTGGAAACTACGAACCACCCGAGTTTGTAGTCAATGCTTTGCAGCAAACTTCTGTGGAATGCACTTGGGATCAGGGCGATGTGGAGCGAGAGCACAAATTAACTCAATACAGCAGTGGTGGCTGGCAAAATATGACAGAAACAGATGACCTCCAAGCCTACTTGGCATCGGATGCCTCGAGTGACGATGATTCTGATGACGAAAAGGCGCAAAAGGGATCGGCTATGCGCAAGTTGCTAGGTCTGGACAGTGGTTCGGAGGAGGATGGAAGCGGTGATTCTTCCTCGGACGATAGCGACTCGGAAGAGGAGAAGGATGTCGAGGCCAGCATGTCCAAAGAAATCAGGTACATACCTGGTCAAAAGGATCTCGAAGAAAAGATTCGATCCAAACTCAAGGGGGAGAGTGAACCCAAGGAAGAGCTCACACCTTGGGAAAAGTATCAAGAAAAGCGAAAGCAAAAGAGACGCGAGAGGAGGCAGGCTGCTCGTGGACGCAAGAATGAACCTGAAGGTAGAAAATCAGGGCCCGAGTCAGATGATGGAGATGAATCTGTCCAGTTGGGTGCCGGTGACAATGATGATTTCTTTGTGGAAAGTGACGATGATAACAAGCCAAAAAAGACGAAGAAGAAGAACTCCAAATCAAAACAAGGCAAGCGCCAAGACCAAGAAACTTCGAAAGCACAATCGGCTAACACTGCCGAGTTGGAACTCTTGTTGGCTGGTGACAATGATGAAGAGCAGGAAAAGGACTTTGACATTCGTGGAATTCAACGCATCGAAAAGAACAAGGGCAAGAAGTTAAAGGGAGGCAGAAAGCGGAAAGAAGAGAAAATCACCAAGGATGTTTCTGGAACCAACTTTAAGGTCGATGTAGAAGACAATCGTTTCGCTGCCGTCTTGAACGGAGCCGACGGTAAATTTGGAATCGACAAGACGGATCCCAATTATAAGGATACAGCTGCTATGCGTGACATCTTGACCGAACAAACCAAGAGGCGAAAGAAGAAACGACAAAAGACCAAGGCTAGTACAGAATCTGCGCCAAATGTCAATGCTGATAGCAATGCCAAGACAAGTGGATCCAACGCATTAAGCTCTTTGGTGCAGAGGTTGAAGACTAAGGTAGCAAACCAATAAGTATTATAAATACCATTTCAAAACACAAGGAGGGGTAAAAATAAAAGATAAACTAGACTGTACTCGTGCTGTGATACAAGTCTCATTACCAACGCTTAAGGCATCATCTATGTTTCCGCGACCAATAAATAAACTAAACGGAAAAATCCCGAACGCTCACGTGCGGTATAACCTGGTGGTACCTCCTGCCCAAAGGTGGTACTAATTTACTGCACCCTCTATCAGATTTTGGTGTGACTTCCGTGAAAATTTGGTGAGTGGTGAGTGCAAGCGAGTGACGATGAGGAAGAGCACAAAATGAGAAACTGATGCAGCAACAGACCAGGGTGTGATTGCGATTCTGATCTGATCGACGTCAACAAAACAATACCGTATCCATATAAAAGACAAAGAAGCATCAGTAGGCCAGGGCGTGGTCAGCATGGTAACAATACAGCGTCCCGGTGGGACGGAACAAAAAAAGAGAATATCTGGACTGAAAGGTTTCACTTTCAATCCAGATTTTGCTGTGGATGAAGATCTCAAGGTTCAGCAGAATATCAAGGGTGAGTCGCAAAGTTGTATGTATGGTAGTCTTGATTTTCGGTCTCCATTCCTAATGCAGTTCATATCGTCTGTTTGCAATATAGTGGCGGTCAGAATACGACCACTCAGCACAGTCTCTGAATCATCACCGAACAACGACAACGAAAAGTCAAAGGAAAAGACAGCATGGGCACTTGAAAAGTCGGGAGCCATGGACACTCTAGTGCAAAAGGGAATGACGCTAAAGGTTGATGGAAAATCAGTATTTCGCTTTGATTCTGTGTTCGATGAAGAAACTCAAACTCCATTAGTATACAAGAGTATGGCGAGAGGGATGGTGAAAACTGTTCTAGGTGAGTCGTATCGAGTGATTGCGAATGCATCCTAATACACCAGGCTCATTTTCTGATTTGAACCTTTTTCAGCTGGGAAGCACGCAACGCTATTTGCGTATGGGCAAACGGGGAGTGGTAAAACATTTACAATGCAGGGCGACGGGAAGAGAAGTGGTGGCCAAGCGGGGATTATTCAGTTGGTCACTTCAGATCTATTTCGTTTTATGAAACAGGGGAAATCGACAGATCGGGAATTCGTTGTTAAGGTTTCCTATATCGAGATTTACAATGAGACGATTCGAGACTTGCTTTCGGATGATGCTGGTAGTACACAGTCACATGGATCGGCTCCACCTCCTAAGAGAGGGCGGCGTGGAAGTCACTTGGACAGGGTTAACATTCGAGCGACTGCTTCAGGGGAAGTCGTGATAAATTCGATACAGAACGAGGTGAAATCTGCTGATGAGGTTTTGGAGTATTTGATTGCTGGCAATGCGCAACGAAAGGTCGCCAAGACCGACATGAATAAACACTCCTCTCGAAGTCACGCAGTGTTCAGACTTACAGTGGAAAGTCGACCCAAGGAGCCCGGGGAAGGTGGAGTTGAGGAGATCGTGCGGATATCAGACTTCAACTTGGTTGACTTGGCCGGTTCTGAAAGTGTGAAGATGTCAGGTACAACTGGCATCCGTAAACGAGAGGGTGCAAATATCAATCAGAGGTAAGATCCGACTTTATAGCGCATATTTGATGCTCTACTATGAAAGGTTCGCTCACAGCGATTTATCATACCAGTCTCCTTTCGCTTTCAACAGTGATTCATTCACTGAGTATGCCGGAGAAGAAACGACCAAAACACATCAACTACCGAGATTCCAAGTTGACAAGAATGCTTCAGCCTCATTTGTCAGGGAATGCAGAGATTGCGATAGTATGCTGTATATCACCGAGCAAGGCGTATGCTGAAGAAACTCGAACAACTCTCAGATTTGCCTGTAAGTACTTTGTTGTGCATTTTTCACTTCTTTGCCATCGTACCAAAATTGCAGCTTCACTCAACCACTTGACCTTTCAGATCGTGCAAAGTTGATTCGTGTTACTCCAAAGGTGAATGAGATCCTTGATGATGGTGCAAAGATAAAGAAACTTGAGAGAGAGCTTGCGAAAGCAAAAAAGATGATCGAAGAACTACGAGGTCAGCCTTCTTCTCCTTTGGGTTTTAGTTCTTCCCAAGCTTCAGAACCGCTCCAGAATGGGTCTGCTGATAAAATTCGAAGTGCTTCCATTAATACGCTCCAGAGCGGATCAGTTGATGATTCACTTCAAACTGAGTCTGTGAATACGCTGCCGAGTCGGAGTCGGAGCGGATCTCATGATTCAGATGAAAACTCCCATGCCCTCTCAGTTGCTGATTACGGCTACGATGAGATGGCGCAAACGAGAAACTATGTAATGCCCGGGCAATCTCCTATACCGGTACCTCCAGAATCCTCTGATGGCAACGAAAATAACTCGCAACTCAAAGAGTATACAATGCCGCTAAAATCATCGTATGATTCCGATGACGAGTCACAGTACGAGGAGCTGTTGCCTCGTGATGATTTTAAACTAGATGCCGTGGGCGAAGTCGAGGCGAGGAAATGCGTACAGAAGTTTATGAAAGGCAAAGACTATGGAGACTCATCAACAGAGGGAGATGTGATGTTCGATGCTTCGTGGGATGAAGATTCACAAGATAGCCTTCCTTACTTGGATGTGGGTGTGAAGAAAGAGAGTACCAATGCAACGACAAGGACGGATGATGAAAGCAGCAGTTATGATGGCCCACCGGCTAGTTACAAAGATGCATCTTTCAAGTTTGGCACTAAATTGAGCCGCCCTGATACCTTGGGAGTAGACACTATTCCCGAGAATGAATCGAAGTATGGTACGCATGATGGGCAAGACGGCCGAACAAACGAAATATCCTGGGACACGATGGGGTTAGACGCCAATCGTCCCGAACATGTCGGGCAGCCTCTACGCGCTCTAAAGAGTTTGGCTGAACAAGACTTGCCGATACCAAAAGAAGTGACCATCATTTGCGCTTCTTCCGTGGACGAAGAACCAGGGCTGAAAGAAAAGAATGAAGATGCAGTGAAGCAAGTTGCGTTCTTGAAGGCTAAGCTTGAAGGTGCCGACGATATAATCGAATCGGTCTTCAAGGACTTGGAACGGGCGCGACTCTGTATCCACGATATGGTTCATCGAAACGTTCAACTTGTAGGCAAACTGAATGATAAAAGGAGGCAAGACGTCAAGGAAGAATACGAGGAAGGCGAGATAAATGTGGAGCAGTATTGGCTGCTTAAAGGTTCCATGTACGTTGGGCTCTTTTTCTTTTTCACTGGTGGCTATGAACTGTTCATGGCCAGTGTGATCTTTATTTGGCTGATGCTAGAAGCCAATTTATCATAGATCTGTAATTTAAGATTTTGTTGTCATTTTTAAACATAGTGGACAAAATGTTACACTTGCACTGTCAGTTGAATTGGGATCACTTCCGAAAGCACTCCTTGACTTGATGTAAGCTCAATGCCTTCTTCTTCCTTGAGTATCTGCTGTGCTTTACTCAGGACATCCGGTAGTTGTATTTCAAGAAGACTCATCATATCATCTGCAAGTGGACAGAAGGCTTTGATACCAGATGGAAACATCTCTTTTGCTGGCAGTTCAAGCGTCAACAAATGCAAACAAGTTCTCTCAGGTGGAAGACCACGTTCATTGCGCCACTCCCTGTTTGTTTGTGAGTTACCGTGCGACGAGTCCCCTATAATTGGATGCGATAGCCCATTCAAGTGGCGTCGAATTTGGTGCCACCGGCCAGTTTTCGGTCGGGCCAAAACAATGCTAGCCCTAGCTCGGTCCAGATTACCAGAGTCATTGTCTTGGCCAGCAACAAATCTGAACATTGTTGTTGCATTATTTAAGTTTCCAGACTCATCTTTTATTGGTCTGTCTACTTCAAACCACCCCTCAGACTTTAGGTCTCGTCCATTGATTCTCCCCTCGCCCCGAACCAAGGCTACATACGTCTTGGTTGCATTCGTCATAGCTTCTTGCAACGACGCCGTCGCATCAAGATCCTCTTCATCTGACTTTGCCAGTGTCAATAAAAGACATCCACTTGCCCCACGGTCGAGACGATGCACCAAGTTAACTCTCTCTTGGACGGCTTCCCTTGTTCGCTGCAACATTGGTACTTCTGGAACAGTTTTCTTTTTCGACCTTGAACCGCTCCAATCGCTGTGATGGCAAACGACTGTTGGTGGCTTCGCAACAACAACATGATGTTCTCCCCTGTCCACGATTGTGACTGTACCATTGAAAGTATATGTCTCTCTCTTCTGATATGCTACCTTCTTCTTTGCAGCGTCTGCGTCAATGGAACTTGATGATGATGATGATGATGATGAACACAATCTTGTTGTTCGTTTCAAAGAGGAAGAACAACAGATGTGGTGATTTCTTGAAACTGTGAAACTCACGCTTGGTAAGGATGTCAGGCCCATTATTTCGGAGATAGCAAGACCATGCAAGAGCAATGTAAGCGCAAAGGTAAAACACTTCATGTGTCAAAAAACGAGAAGAAGTGGTTGCCGGTAGGAACTTTAGATTGATTGATGATATTTTGATGGTTGATGTTCCACTGACGACTGCTCTGACTCATGCAGTCGCACGAATCAATCAATAGACTGGATATTCTCCACGCCACATCATATCGTCATCGAATTATATATTCCGCAACATTATCAACGCGCGAGTCTTCCCATTACTCTAACACTTTCACCTGTTCTTGGTCTTGAAGATGCCATTGATTCATTCATCAGTACGAGCTCTCAGATTACCATGTGTATCAAGGCTGATAACCAGACCGTTCGCGGTAGACACAAGCACATCGAGTGCTTTTGATCGAAATCTCAAAATGAAACAGCGGGACAATGCAGCACGAGCACACAATATCTGGAAAGATGGCGAAGATATTGTCGACTATAACTATTTTCGAAAAGAAATGGCTTACAGACTAGTGGATCGGTAAGATTATTATTGTGTGGTGGGACTGGTCTTTTTCAGACAGTATGGTGGCTCAATTTTCTCCAATTGTGTTCAATTTCAGTCTTGATGATATCAGAAGACAAGAGGGCTTCCCACTGGCACTGGATATTGGTACGCCAAACATAACTATTATATCGATGAAGATAGCTGAACATTTGCCTAATTCATCAAATTCCGTTCTTTCATCACAGGTGCTGGCTCTGGCTACATACATCAAGCAATTTGTGCAGATGATGCTTTCGAAGGAGAAGGAGGGATTGGTGGGATTCGAAAGTTGGTCCAGCTGGATTTCAGTGAAGAACTGTTGAACCGCGACATAGATGAAGGAATAGAAGGTGTCCATAGGTGCGATACGTACAGGCTGGCTGCTGACGAGGAAGGAAAGTTGCCTTTTCCAGATGGAACTTTCGACCTAGTTCTTAGTTCACAGGCCATTCACTGGGTGAACGACCTACCAGGATTGTTTAAGGAAGTTCAAAGAGTCCTAAAGCCAGATGGATGTTTCATGTTCACGATGGTGGGGGGAGCAACGCTACCTGAATTGCGCATTTCGATGGTTTTGTCGGAGATGGAACGAGAAGGCGGAGTTGGCGCACATGTAGGACCATTCGTCGAACTTTCAGATGTTGGCAGTCTACTGCAAAGCGCAGGGTTTTCACTCCCAACAATTGATATTGATACTGTAAGAATATCCTACCCAGATGCGTTTGTCCTAATGGAACATTTGCAACGAATGGGCGAGAACAATGCCTCCCTTCGGCGACGTGAATTCACTGGCAAAGATGTATTCTTGGCATCCGCTAGTATCTATGACGAGATGTTCAAGTTACAGGAAATAGAGGGTGATGAAGAAGAAAGCGATGTCGAAGCTTCTGTGCAGGTTATTTCTGCGATTGGCTGGTCACCCCATGCATCCCAACAACAACCATCACAACGTGGTTCCGCACAGCATCGAGTTGGCGACATGATCACGAAAACTACAGGAGGCGGTAGTGCTTGAATTGGTTAGAATATTAACAATATAGATATACACTGGTTAATGCCCATTAAGATGCAAATCACAATATGATATGCGTTTCCGCAGAGGGCTTGGAAACAATATAGATAAAAAATGAAAAAATCGAGGCCCATCCTGCTTCCAATACATACAGTACTTCACTTGTCTTGGTTGCTAGTGGCCTGAGCTGTTTGAATGCGGGACAAAGTCATGAAAAAAGTTGCTACGAGACGCAATGATCCGAAGAAGCCCTTCTTCTCGTTCAATCACTCGAAATGCCTGCATGGTCGGTCTCCTAGGCGTCAGCGGAAACAATCCCAATCGTTCAAACTCGAGCTGCTGAACCAGCAGAGATGCCATGGGATTTGGAAGCAATGAACGACCGAGATCAAGTGTTTGCTGCTGGCCAATTGTCCGTATCAACAGCTCGTCTTCCAATCGACGTGTGGTTATTCCTGAATATAGCTGTTGCTGCATTTGGCTTCGCTGGAACATCGGAGAACCAGCAATTGGCGCTCGAGTAGACCCAGAAGTAGTTTGGGAAGTCATGCCATTTTGCAATATTGTAGTAGGTGCCTTCCGAGTTATCAAAGACTCTTGAATGTTGCTCTTGCACGACCTGCGGCACCGAAGTGAATGACCCACCTTTTGGATTGCAAGTTCAACATCAACTTCGACCCACTCGTCCTCACTTTCAGTCTGTTTCAAGAATTTTACACCACCTTCGATAATCTCTTTGTAGGCCTTCCTGATTAGCTTGCGTTTCTCCGCACATGAAGCACCAAAGTAACGAACCCTGTACTTGTCAAGGATCTTGCGCATCCGCTGATTTCCTGGATTGTTGGTACAGCGCTTTCCTCTGCCAAACAAAACATGGTTCGCGTCAGCAATCGAGCTTGAGTTTGGACTACTTTTGATGGATGCTTTTCTTTGCTGCGTTTCCATTTGTGCTTTTGAGATTGAGACAAACACACCGATTTCTAGTGACTTCGACAATACTCCTCCGGTCGATGATGGTTTCATTGCCTCTAGGATAGATGATTATTAAGACAAGCAATGAGATTCGTAGCGAATACTCCCAGTCTCGTTCAATAACGCCCAACTTCTGCCTATAAATGTACCGGTATAATAGGCTGGCAGTCATTCCACAGATATGTGTTCATCAGAATACTCCGCCGTTTTTTCGCTCCCCCAAATTCGAATTCAACTTTGACAAAATGAAAACTCTCTATTATAGACAGGGCCAAAAAATGGTATTGGGTGACTTGTATATGTTCCGGCATGGCCTTGTAGGACATCTCTCCAGCCATGTAGACCAGATTATGCTGATGCCTGAATCCAAATTGATGCCCCCAGTCGTCACATATTGCGAGCCTTTTTGTTCCGTTTCAAGTCTCCAGACGACGAGGAGTCAAACCACGTACAGTATCTGAATCTGTACATAGCGTGTCCCGTATGAGCCTTGAACTGATAAAAATAGTGGCCTCATTATCCCGTCTCTTCGTCTCCTAGTATCTTAGAGTGGACCCCAATTGAAATTCGTTTGACAGCATAATCGTCGGGCGCACCAAGATAATCAAGGCTCATGCTGAGCTTACAATAGCAGTGCTAGATATTCGTCAGGTAAAGAACACATTGTGTGGTCACATATATGAAGAATCCGATAGGCTAGCGACAGAAACAAGCTTCTTTCCTTCATTTCATTGTAGAATTGATGGTTAGCTTGGACTCGTGGAATGCTTAGGAAGAATGCACTCTTGGTTGTACAATGACAACTTCGAAGAGGATACCGTGTGTGTCTACCAACAGTCAATTCAACGCTCAAGAGGGCAGAGCATCATGGTCAATGTCGGTCGACTGGCAGCCGTGACTATTACAGATTGGATATGGCGTCCCTTCATCATGCGAAGCACCAGTAGGGATATAAGCTTGCTTTTAACAGAGTGCAGAGAGCTTGAAGCGCATTGAAATGACACTCGGCGACTAGAGCCTTCCTGTGTAAGCAGGGATCGAAATGGATGTGCCTTCAACTCTAAGCAGCGTTTGGTCCATTCACCATGGTTGGCGTCCACTCATAGCACTGTTCCTCACGGTTTGGCAAATCCGTCTTTTGCCCACGGCACTACTCTTCGATAATTGAATCTTTCTTCCGAAAGTTGTAGATGCTGGCAACTCATCGCAGCATGATGAACCGAGTGTGTCATAGGCCCATTGCTGAGACCTGGAGACCTGATTGTTCCCCTCGTGTTCCGAGAGCGGGAGCACGGATGAGTCGGGTACCGCGCACCTTCAAAATATGCACTCTACTCTCCGTTGAACAATGGTCGATTGAGTCCTCCAGGCTTCGCTTCACAACATGTCACTTTGTGTGTTGCAAGTGTATAGTTCTCACAAAACAACAATGCGAAAGTTTGTTTCTTTTGATTGCTCAAGGCTTCGACGAGACGTTGAACATCGAACAATGAGCAAGTCAAAAGTTTTAGCGGTTTTGATTGGCAAATTGAAAATATCTTTGCGACTATGTCTGATCCTTGCAGTCAGAAAACGAGACGGGCGGGATACACAGATACCTACTACGATACTACTCGGAAGACCTTAGAAAGGGAGAATCTTTCAAAAAGATGCTGTAGTAGTCAAAACCATTCTAAATTCGGATACACTTGGCTTTTATTCGAATACAGAATGTTAAAAGTTTCAATCCATGCAGAAATATAAAATTGAGAATCCAGATACGAAAAGCAGGATTGTCCATTCAGCACCTCGGGAAACGGCTCTTAACACGGATGCCATCGGTCTTCGTCGTTTGATTCGGGTCAACGTCATGAAAAATGGCTGCCATGTGACGACATTATCCGAAGAAGCTCCTCTTCATGTTCAATCACTCGCAGTGCCTCCTGCGAAAAAGCTCCGGGTTGTATGATTGGCGCTCTGGCCCTCAATGGAAACAATCCAAGTCGCTCAAGCTCAAGTTGTCGAACCAACAAAGATGTCATTGGATTGGGAAGCAATGAAAAACCGAGATCACATGATTGCTGCTGGGCAATTGTCTGTCTCAAAAGTTCGTCTTCCAACGGACGTGTGATTGATGCTTGTATATTGTGTTGCATTTGACTTTCCTGGAACATCGAAGGACCAGCAAATGACTCTCCAATAAACCCAGAACTAGCTTGGGACATCGCACCTTTCTGCAATTTTCTAGTAGGCGCCTTCCGGGTTGTCAAAGGCTCTTGAATGATGCCTTTGAAAGACCTTCGGCAACGAAGCGAATGGCCCACCTTTTGGATTGCAAGTTCAACATCAACTTCGACCCACTCGTCCTCCCTTCCAGCCGGCTTCAAGAATTTTACGCCACCTTCGATGATTTCTCCATAGGCTTTCTTAATTAGCTTGCGTTTTTCCGCACACGAGGCACCAAAGTATTGAGACCTGTACTTGTCGAGGATCCGGCGCATCCGCTGATTTCCTGGATGATAGGTAAAGCGCTTCCCCCTGCCAAACAAAACATTGTTTGCCTCAGCAACGGAGCTTAGGTTTGGACTCCTTCTGATGGATGCTTTCCTTTGCTGCGTTTCCATTTGCGCTGCCTCGGTTTTTGAGATTGAGACAAGCGCACTCTTCTTCGGTGCTTCTGCCGGTGCTTCTCCGGTGGATGATGGTTTCATTGCCTCAAGGATACGATGATACAGCGATTCTTCCCGCCCAATTTCTTCTTCAAGGTACAATAACTTCCGTCCAAAATAGGTAGACAGTTTTTATTTGTCTACTGGTACAATGCAATACCAGCACCGCAATAATACTGTACGATACTGGTACATGTATTTTAAAATACCAACTTCATGCGGGAACATTCTTCATCAAAATACGTATGTACGTACAGTCTGTACTTGGCCTTCTGTGCGTTTTTGGTTCCCCCAAATTCTGTCCGTACCGAATTCAACTTCGTCATATCGCAGAAACTCTGAAGGCTGAAAAATACTACCAGTACCAGTACTCTTTTGGTTTCTGGAAACCCAAGATGTTCCGGCATGCGTCCTTTGTATGACATCTCTAGGCCAGGGAATGCAGATAGTTGAATAGCCCGCAGTGGTGTCACGTAGTATAAGGACTTATGCACATCTCGTTTGGTTTCGTTTCGATCCCCCATTCTTGGTGCTACAAGAATACGTATCTGAACTTGTATATCGTTTCGCTCATTAAGCTTGAATTGATGCAGGGAACGAAGTTCTAGGCGTTTCTCAAATAGAACGTATAATAGTGCATGGTCACATATGTACAGGGCCCAATAGACCAGCGATAGACACAAGCTTGTGTACTTCATTTTCAAAGTGTATTTGATGAGTTCTTAGCTTCCCTGGAATGCAGCATGAAATGCTTAGGAAGCATGTCTATGCGAAATCTCAGCGTCAAATAGCATCCCGAATATACCTGGAGATAGTGAATCCAACGCTCTCCGGAGAGCAGACCGAATGACAGTCGACTGTAGCCGTTATGACTATGGCTGGTGAGGTGCCAGGATCGAATTTGGCCTCCCATCATCATGATGCCAAGCACCAGTAGGGGTCAGGATTTATGCTTTCGGCGCCAGAGTGCAGAGAGCCTTAAGTGCATTGGAATTGCAATTGTCGAGACTCGCGATGCAAACAAGGGTTAAGGCCGATATACTTACCGCCCTAAAAGGGCGTCCACTCGCAACACTATTCCAAATCCGTTTTTTGCCCACTTTGCTAGCCTTGCGTTGCGTTATTTGATCTTTCTTCACAAATTTGTCTATGTTGACAACTGGTAACATGATGAACCATGTGTAGTAATCACATTGCTGAAGCCGGAGACCTGATTGCTCCCCTCGTGTTCCGGAGCGAGAGCACGGATGAGTGAGCAAGTACCGCGCACTTAACAATTTCACCGTAGTCTTCATGGTACAATGGGGCAATTCGTGAGACTCCGCATCAAGATATGTCACTTTCTGTGTTGTAAATGCATAGCTCTAACGAAGCCACTATGCGAAGTTTGATTTATGTTGATCGATTGCTCTTATTTCGACAAGAATAAGACACCATAGGACTGTACCTAAAATAAAGTAAGCAAGGTAAAGTAAGTCACAACGATTTTGATTGGCAAATGGAAAAAATAGTAACGACTATGTCTGCTCCTTTTATTGCAGTCTCCGAAAGGCGGCTCAAAACTGCGGAAGTGGAAAGTTTAAAATATTAGACACACTCTAGAGACCCTACCGGTCCCATAGTACTTGTACCCAAAATCCATGTATGGTCGGATATATTTGCCTTTTCCTCGAATAGGACTACAGAATGCAAATGTTACAAAAGAAATCTAAACTACAGAATTATAGAGATACAAAAAGACTCATCAAGAACTCCAAAAACGGGGTTTATCGTGGGCGGCATTGGGATTTGTCATTTGATCCAGTTCAAAGTCATGAAAAACTGTTGCCACGCGACGACATTAGCCGAAGAAGCTCTTCTTCTTGTTCAATCACTCGCAGTGCCTCCTGTGAAATAGCTCCGGGTTGTATAGTTGCCGTTCTGGCTGTCAATGGCAATAATCCCAGTCGCTCAAGCTCAAGTTGCTGAACCAACAAAGATGTCATTGGATTTGGAAGTAACGAAGATGACATCGGATTTGGAAGCAAGGAAAGACCGAGATCAAGTGACCGCTGCTGGGCAATTGCCCGTCTCAGCAGCTCGTCTCCTAATGGACGTGTGGCCGAGGCCGAATGTATCTGTTGGTAAGTTTGGCTTCGCTGGAACATCGAAGGACCAGCAACTGACGCTTGGGTAGACCCAGAAGTAGCTTGGGACGTCATACCATTTTGCAATATTGTAGTAGACGCCTTCCGGGTTGTCAAAGACTCTTGAATGATGCCTTTGAAAGACCTTCGGCAACGAAGCGAATGGCCCACCTTTTGGATTGCAAGTTCAACATCAACTTCGACCCACTCGTCCTCCCTTCCAGCCGGCTTCAAGAATTTTACGCCACCTTCGATGATTTCTCCATAGGCTTTCTTGATTAGCTTGCGTTTTTCCGCACACGAGGCACCAAAGTATTGAGACCTGTACTTGTCGAGGATCCGGCGCATCCGCTTATTTCCTGGATGATAGGTAAATCGCTTTCCTCTGCCAAACAAAACATTGTTTGCTTCAGCAATGGGGCCTCGGTTTGGACTACTTTTGATGGATGCTTTCCTTTGCTGCTTTTCCATTCGTGCTGCCTCGGTTCTTGAGATTGAGACAAGCGCACTCTTCTTCGGTGCTTCTGATGGTGCTTCTCCGGCGGATGATGGTCTCATTGCCTCTAGGATATGATGGCGAAGACAAGCAATGAGATTATCATGGAATATACCCAATGTCTGCTTGAATAAGCATCAACTTCTGTCTGAAGGCTTGCGGTCATTCTATATTGTCGACACGTCCACGCGACGAATATATGCTAGACACTTTTTGCTCCCCCAAATTCTTTTCATCACGAATTCAACTGCGACATCCAGGTCGGAGATTTTGGGCCTGCAGAAAAGATAATGGAAACGTGTATGTTCCAGTATAGCCTTAGTATGACATCTTTGCACCCAGGTCGACCAGGAATGCTGATGCTTGAATTCCAATCTGATGGCACACAGTTGTTGCATATTAATCCGTTTAGTCTTGTTGCAACAATCCTCCATTGTTACAATACATATGAATCTAGACGTTTCTGCATGGAGCTTACACTGATACCAATAGTGACTTCACTATAGCGTTTCTTCATCTCGGGTGCTTGGAGAAGAGGAACCCAACCGATTTACTCTGACAGTCTTCCCAGCCGGAGGAGGAGATGAGCTAGGGATAGCTGTGCAGTGTCTGGTCTGGGAAAGACTGCGAATGACTTGTCTCAGGTTTAGAGCGCAGCGTATCGTCATATGTGCAAGACCCGATGGGCTCGCACGGTACGGGCTTGTGTACTTCATTTTCATTTTGGACTTGAGGAGTTGCTTGGACTGCATAGCTAGAATGCTTACTAAGCATGTTCCCCTCTTGGTTCCCATGTGGTAGGATTCAATTGATAAGCCCCGTTGATGTTGCATCGACGACCAAGCTGCCCCGGCTTGCGCCGATGTAGGCAGGGCCGAGGAATAGCGTTGGCATATTTTGCTTAACATCAGCAGTCATGATGAAGAAGCCGCTTTTGCGAAGTGTATGCCATGTCCTGACAACTGAAGCACTAGCCCATGGTCTACCAAGCCACCTCGCGGCGTTCATTAACACGCAAGGAGTCCTCGCATGGGCCCTCGCTGCTCTCTTGGGCTGGGTCACTTTGAATTGCAGTCGGCTGACTTTCATCATAGTAGTATCCTGACGACGGTGGAGACTTCGTTTACTCGTTCAGCATAATATTACCATACCGTGTCCTACTATGACCATACATCATCGACCGTATGCTGAAAACGCGGCAGATTATGGTTAGATGTCCAGTACTGAGGCTGAAAAATTTCCTGTTTGAGACCTCGATGTTCCCCTCCACGCCTCACTCATAAACTTGCCATATGTCACGACTTTTTTCAAGCAGCACTTTGCTTCGCACAGATTCTCATTCAGTAGGATAGGGTATCGCGTCTGATATTCTGCTTGTCAAGACATGCTACATTAGAGTGTGTGCTATTGCAAATGAATAGCGCTTTCACGAAACCCACTGTTATAAAAGTTTGTTCTACTTTCATCGCCTTTATTGACACCCATCCAAGAAAATAAGAGCGAGCAAGTCTCGCGCACAGCGCTTTTTGATTGGCAAATGGACAAGATCGTCGCGACTAAGTCTGATCCTTGTTGAAGTGAAACTGCTAATACATTAGAAAAGGATACTAATAAAATAAAGCTGTACCTAGTATAGTCAAAAGCAATTTGTTTTCGTATACACTTGGTTTTTACTCGAATGCCAAAAAGTTTTTATAACATATCGTTACAGTAATATGAACAGAGAATTGAGATACAAAAAGCAGGACTGTTCATTCAGCGCGACCTCAAGAAACGGCTCTGTCGTGGATGTTTGTCGTAAAATGAAGGTCAAAGTCCTGGAAATTTGTTGCCACGCGACGACATTATCCGAAGAAGCTCCTCTTCACGTTCAATCACTCGCAGTGCCCCCTGCGACATAGCTCCGGGTTGCATAGTTGCCGTTCTAGCTGTATATAATGGCAACAATCCAAGCCTCTCAAGCTGAAGTTGCTGAACCAATAAAGACGTTATTGGATTTGGAAGCAATGAAGATGCCATTGGATGTGGAAGCAATGAAAGACCGAGATCAAGTGCTCGCCGTTGTGCAATTGCCCGTCTCAACAGCTCGTCTCCCAGTGGATGCGTGATTGATTCGGATTGTATCTGCTGCTGCTGCTGCTGCTGCTGCATTTGGCTTTGCTGGAACATCGGGGAACCAACAACTGACTCTCCAACAAACTCAGAAGTAGTTTGGGTTGTCATACCATTTTGTAATATTGTAGTAGGCGCCTTCCGGGTTGTCAAAGACGCTTGAATGTTGCCTTTGCAAGACCTTCGGCAACGAAGCGAATGGCCCACCTTTTGGATTGCAAGTTCAACATCAACTTCGACCCACTCGTCCTCCCTTCCAGCCGGCTTCAAGAATTTTACACCACCTTCGACGATCTCCTCGTATGCTTTCTTGATTAGCTTGCGTTTTTCCGCACATGAGGCACCAAAGTATTGAGACCTGTACTTGTCGAGGATCCGGCGCATCCGCTGATTTCCTGGATGATAGGTAAATCGCTTCCCCCTGCCAAACAAAACGTGGTTTGCTTCAGCAATGGAGCTTGAGTTTGGACTACTTTTGATAGATACTTTCGTTTGCTGCGTTTCCATTTGTGCTGCCTCGGTTTTTGAGATTGAGGCAAATGCACCATTCTTCGGTACTTTTGATGGTGCTTCTCCGGTGGATGATGGCTTCATTGCCCCTAGGATAGATGACTTTAAAGACAACCACTCAGGTCTTATCGAACAACACCAACGCTCTGCACTTTACGTTCCAACTTCTGCCCGTAAATACCGGTAGGCAGGCAGTCATTCTATTATGGCACACTATATGCCGAAACATCCGCCAAAATGCTTCACCGGACGTTTTTGGTTCCCCCAAATTCTTTCCATCACGCATGCAACTTATTCGATTCCCCATATACTGCATCATAAAACGCTTCAGACTGGGCATGATAGATGAGCGTTGGAAAACGTGTATGTTCCAATGTAGCCTTAGTATGACATCTCTGCGTCCAGGTAAACCAAGGATGCTGATGCTTGAATAAATCTGATGCCCACATATTACTTGGTTGCTCCTAGTTTCGCCTACTGTAGTCCCGTTACACCAAACCCGCCCCAGTGTTGCAATACGTATCTGAATCTATCTATTGCTTCCCGGATGAAATATGAAGAGATACCAACAGTGGCTTCAGTATCACGTCTCTTCATTGGATGCTTGGATACGCGGATCCGAACAGACTTACTCTGGAAGTCTTCCTACTAGCCGAAGGAGCTAGCTGAGCTAAGAACGACTGCGCAGTATCTTATCTGAGATCGACTATTCAATGCCTTGGACCAGGTATAGAAAGTAGCGTGCAGACTCCGATCGGCTAGCACTACGCACAATCTTGTGCACTTGATATTCATTGTGGACTTGATGAGCGAGTTAGCTTGGCCTGCATTCATTGCTTAGGAAGAATGTCCTCCTTTTGGTACCAAAATGACAGGACTCAATCTTCATGATCCGCTGATCTTGGATCGACAAAGAAGCGGCCCGGGCGTGGGCCGATGTCCATGGTATGCAGTGATGACTGTGTTGTTTGGCGAATATTGATGAACATCAGCAGTCATGGTGAAGCACCAAGCCTGTTTTTCGAAGAGTATGTCCAGTTACGAAAATTGGAGTAATAGCGAGGGTCAGCCGAGTCACCCTTACTTTATTCATTACCATGGGGGGTGCCGCAACATGGGCCATCTTTGCTCTTTTGGTCGGATCAATTTGAATTGCAGTCAACTTACTTTCATCATAGTAGTCGATCCTCGTCACAGTCAAGACTTCGCCAGGTCCTCGTAGTATGACAATGCGATACTTGCTCTTCATCTAGTATCTATCATATGCTGAAAACGCGGCACATTATGATTCGATGTGCAGAGTGAGTTTGTTCAAAAATCTTATGTTGGAGACCTGGCTGTACCCCTCGAGGCCTCATAAAGTTGCCATTGCCATATGTCACGGCTTTCTCCAAACAGCACTCTGCTCCGCGCAGATTCTCGTTCAGTAGGATACGGTATCGCGTCTGGTATTCTGCTTGTCAAGACATGCTACAGTAGTGCGTGTGTGCTGTTGCAAATGAGTATAGCTTTCGCAAAGCCACTTTTCGAAGTTTCATCGCCTTTGCGACAAAAGAAAATAAGAGCGAGCAAGTCTCAGAGGTTTTTGATTGGCAAATGGATAATATAGTTGCGACTATGTCTGATCCTTGCAGTCAGATAACGAGACAGTAGTGGTCTAATACCTTAGAAAAGAATCTATTTTCGGATACACTTGGCTTTTACTCGAATATAGAATGCAAAAACTTTTAAAATACATGCAGAAATATAAAATAGAGAATCGAGATGCAAAAGCAGGATTGCCCATTCAGCACCTCAAAATGATTCGGGTCAAAGTCATGAAAAACTGCTGCCATGTGACGACATTAAGCGAAGAAGCTCCTCTTCATGTTCAATCACTCGCAAAGCCTCCTGTGAAAAAGCTCCGGGTTGTATGGTTGGCGTTCTCGCGGTCAATGGCAACAATCCCAGTCTCTCAAGCTGAAGTTGCTGAACCAACAAAGATGTCATTGGATTTGGAAGCAATGAAAAACCGAGTTCAAGTGTTCGCTGTTGGGCAATTCTCCGTCTCAACAACAGCTCGTCTTCCAATGGACGTGTGATTGATGTTTGTATCATGTATTGCATTTGACTTTCCTGGAACATCGAAGGACCAGCAGAAGTAGTTTGGGGCATCGCGCCTTTCTGCAATTTTCTAGTAGGCGCCTTCCGGGGTGTCAAAGACTCTTGAATGTTGCCTTTGAAAGACCTTCGGCAACGAAGCGAATGGCCCACCTTTTGGATTGCAAGTTCAACATCAACTTCGACCCACTCGTCCTCCCTTCCAGCCGGCTTCAAGAATTTTACGCCACCTTCGATGATCTCCTCGTATGCTTTCCTGATTAGCTTGCGTTTTTCCGCACATGAGGCACCAAAGTATTGAGACCTGTACTTGTCGAGGATCCGGCGCATCCGCTGATTTCCTGGATGATAGGTAAAGCGCTTTCCTCTGCCAAACAAAATATTGTTTGCTTCAGCAACGGAGCTTAGGTTTGGACTACTTCTGATGGATGCTTTCCTTTGCTGCGTTTCCATTTGTGCTGCCTCTGTTTTTGAGATTGAGACAAGCGCACTCTTCTTCGGTGCTTCTGATGGTGCTTCTCCGGTGGATGATGGTTTCATTGCCTCAAGGATACGATGATGCGGAACAGAACAGCGATTCTTACCACCCAATTTCTTCTTCAAGGTTCGTACAATATGTTATGATGATTCCGTCCAACGGCTGGCGCAGCAGTCATTCTGATATGTCGACACGCAATAATGCTGACGATATTTTTGGCTCCCCCAAATTCTTTCCATGACGAATTCAAAACTTCGACAAACCAAAAAACGCTTCAGGTCTCAGGATGGGCCTGCTGAATAGGTAATGGAAAAGCTGTATGGTCCGGTATAGCCTTTGTATGATATCTCTGCCCCCAGGTAGATCAGAGTATGCTGCTGCTTGAATCCGAGTCTGATGCCAGTCAGTCGCCACATAATTTATTCTATTTAGTTTCGTTGCAATCCACCAGTGCTCCAATACATGGATGAATCTATACGCAGCGCTTCCGCGTGAAGTTTATAGTGATACCAATAGTGGCGTCACTGCCACGTCTCTTTCATCTCGGCAACTATGGACAGAATCTCAATGGCCTTTTTCGGAGAGTAAGCTGAGATGGGAACGATTGTGTACCTTCTTGCATTAAGTGCAACATGTAGCGTATGCAAAAGCCCACAGATATGTAGGAGCCTATAAGCTTGTATGTGGCACGAGCGTGGACTTTGTTTCAATGAGGACTTGATTGGTTTCCTCCTGGGACTTGAATAAAATGCTTCGGGAGAATACGACTTCCTTGGTTCCCGATTAGCAGGATG